TTTAGGATAATTATTTATTAAAATAATTAACAAATGTGCACCAAACCAAAGTCATGTGGTGAGACTAAAATGCAGAATAAAATAAATTATATCACAGAGACCCCTGCATGATTGTGTGTCAAGATGAATAATTTTGTCAAAATATCAGATAATCTGATCTTTTAAAGGCAAGGGTAGTTCAGGTTTAAAAACTGAAAAATTATTGATGTTTTTAAATGATATACGTAAAGATAATTTTTACTTTGAAAAGTACATTTAAATTTTAAGTATTTATTTTTTAAATTTTTTTTTTATGAGTAGACATAATGTATTCAAAGTGTACGGAAAATCATCATATCAGTCCATCACTTCAGTTATTACATTGTTGCATGTTTTTGCAGAGAGAGATCCAGAAACTCTATGAAACCAAGTCTTTCGTGTTCCTGGGCTGCGGGATTATTTTTTTTTATGAGTAGACATAATGTATTCAAAGTGTACGGAAAATCATCATATCAGTCCATCACTTCAGTTATTACATTGTTGCATGTTTTTGCAGAGAGAGATCCAGAAACTCTATGAAACCAAGTCTTTCGTGTTCCTGGGCTGCGGGAGGACAGTGGACGACACCACCTTCCAGGCACTGTTTCTTGAGGCGGTCAAACACAAGTCCGACCTTGAGCATTTCATGCTGGTGCGGCGAGAGGACTTGGGAGAATTCAAGAAGCTCCGAGACAACATGCTGGACAAGGGCATTAAGGTCATCTCGTACGGCAACGAATACGCCGACCTGCCAGAATACTTCGAACGACTGGCCAATGAGATTTGCAACCGGGATGTGGTGACCAATGGCTGGGGTAAGTTGTCTTCACTATTTAGATATGTTACGTACAACTGATGTGTTTTTTCACTGATTCATTTGCTGGATTGATTCAGGATCTCCCATCTCACAAGGCGAAGAAAGTCAAAATGGCTTTACGACCCAGAAAAACCTCCTGCAAGGTTAGGATGGCTTTTGTGTTGGCACCTCAACCAGCTTGCATACTAAAGGCAATTTGGGCATTTGACTGGAGCATGACCACGCGTTTTTTCGTTTTCCCTTCTTTCCTTCAGTGCATGCTTCTAGAACGACAGAAACATGAATGCAGCACAAGGGCTTCTGTTGTTGTTTTATACTCACCTTCCCACTGTACTCCTCTGCACCCGTGGCTTCCCGTGATGAAATCAGCTGATGCGCATTGTTGTAACGAGATCTTCATTGTAGCTCTTCCTCTCTCTCTGTCCAGACTTCCACTCGTGACACAAGCCGCCCCCTTCCGCTCGGATCTGGTATGACTAGATCTTCACGCACAACAGACTCATTTTCTCATACTGAAACCTAGCACCGCCAGTACTCGTCCGCTTCACACGGGAAAGGCGTGAGTAAAAGCACCACCAAGCAAACTGTGAAGTCCTGCAACTCGGAAAATGTTTATGAAACTCTTCATGTGAGTGAGGGAGAAATATTATTTTTTTTAAATGTGGTTTTAAGTGAAATTGTGGACCAAGAATGATGTTCAGGACCAGTCTGATCTTAAACATGAGCTGTTAAATACCAAAACAGCTGAACAGGAGTGTTTTAGCAATGCAGTCTCACTTCCCCCTTTTCACATCAGTAAATACACCAGCAATATTTAAATGGTCATTGTGTGAACCTCACAAAATTATCATGAAATGTCCATGTCATATTTCACCCCTAAATAAGTGTGTGTGTGTGTATATATATATATATATATATATTTATTTATTTATACATTTTGTGACAGTGTTACATTTAAACACTGCCCACCTTCAAATTCCGATTACGTTAATGTGAAAAATCCCTCACTTCTGTAAAAAAATATTCTTTGTACTATTTACATAGTACAGTACAATTCTGTTTAATGATATAATTTGCTGTACTGAATAATGGATTAAAATAGTGATTTTAATAAAATTAGTTTTCATTACTTTTGCAAATAATTTTTGCAAACAAAAAGCGATGCTGTATATACATTCACACAAAATCTAATTGTGACTTTTTGACTCACAGTATCTCACCTTTTTTCCTCACAATTTTAACAAAAAAGTCAGAATTGCAAGATAAAACCTCAAAATTGCGAGATATACGCTTGTTATTCTAAGAAATGTCCGAAATGTTAGATATAAACTCGCAAATGCAGGAAAAGAAGTCAGAATTGCAAGATAACCTTTTTAATTTTTTATTCTGTGGCAGAAACAAGATTCCATCTACAGTATTGTGAGAATTACAGTATACAGAAATGTGATGTACACTTAGAATTCTAAGAAAAAGTCATATTTGTTAGAAAAAAGTTGCAATTAACTTTACAAATTATTTTTTTTATTCTGTTGTGGAAGCTTCCATATACAGTATACACACACACACACACACACACAGTTCTATTGGTTGAAATATGACTGAAATGACATTTCTTTTATTACTAAATCTGTCCTGTAAGGAGGAGGAAATGCAATAAACACCTCGTTAGGGTGACTGAGGTGTGACTCAAAATTCATGTGATTTCTCAGGCTTTACTTCTAGAAGCATCTCCGCTTCCATGAATCTACTTGAACTTGTCACGAGACTAATAATGAGGATAATGATATAATGCCATCATTCCTCTCAAGCTACACAGCTTTCAATACATTTTATTGCACTTTGACACTGACAGTTAGTCCCCATTTCTAGTTGTAAATGCTTGGTCAGTAAAAAGAAATGTAAACAGTTGTTTATAAACCTTTTGTATTTTAACTCCAGTGGTCCACTATTTTATCATCTCTGTCCACAAATGTCTTTTAGGTATTTATAATGCTATTTTAAAATAAAGCATCAGTTTGGTACCAAATTTGCAGTGAATATGTTTTCAGGAATTACATCTACCCCCACCTTATTTTTAAAAGTACAAGCGATAGCTGCCATTTGTAACTTGAATGTGCGAGACTTCCGGTGTCATCCGCTTCTGGTTACTCTAGCTGTGCAAAAACTGTACTTTTGAGAAAATGTTTGACTGTACGCTGTCATAAACATCCAGTCAGTGAGTCAGCTGTTAAAGTAGTTCAGTAAACACGCTGCTAGATTTGGTGACTTAAACCGATAAGTCATGAGTTTGTAATTCTTTTTGATCGATTCATAAGAACCAGCCTATAAAAATCATGATTTAAAAAAAATTACACCAATCATGAGGTTATGTTTGTTTTTGCAAAACAGCAGACATACCCCTTTGTATTACTTCTGTAGACATTATATATGGAATGTGAATTCTATGGAAGTCTGTTTCGCCATGGAATTAAACGTTTCAGAATTTTTTTATCCAATTCTGAATTTCTCACCATTCAAATTTTTTTCCTCACAACTGAGAATATAAATATACAGAATTGCTAGAGGTAAAAGAGAATTAAGAGGGATAGGTCTACAATCTTGTCTCTGACATCCTTTGACAGCTCTTTGGTCTTGCCCATGGTGGTGGGAGAGGTTTGAATGGAAGATACACATTCTATGGACTGGTTTCTTTTATACTCATAACAAGATGACATTAGGAGTAATTTCTTAAAGTGACAGGACTAATCTGTGTTCCACATGGAAACTTGGAATTGTGAGAAAAAAAAGTCAGAATTCTTGAGTTTATGTCTTGCCATTCTGACATTTTCAAATTCAGATTTGCAAGAAAAGTCTGAATTGAGATAAAAACTCAGAATTTTGAGATGACAAGTCGCAGTTCAATTTTTTTTTTCCTGTGGCAGAAAAACAGACTTCCACAGAATTCAGCATTGGTGAGAATAGCAGTGTAGGAAACAATTACGAACTACTAGTACCAAACAAGACACGTCATTACAAGCTATTATAGCAGCTTTATTTAAGAAATATTACACATTCTCAAAGTACAACAAATCTTCTCTATGAAGCTCTCCAGTCTTGCCATTGTGCTAGCGCAAATTAACATGAGGTGAAAGAGAATTAAGACCTGTCGCAGTTCAATTTTTTTTTTCCTGTGGCAGAAAAACAGACTTCCACAGAATTCAGTATTGGTGAGAATAGCAGTGTAGGAAACAATTACGAACTACTAGTACCAAACAAGACACGTCATTACAAGCTATTATAGCAGCTTTATTTAAGAAATATTACACATTCTCAAAGTACAACAAATCTTCTCTATGAAGCTCTCCAGTCTTGCCATTGTGCTAGCGCAAATTAACATGAGGTGAAAGAGAATTAAGACCTGACTTTGTTCTAAAATAAAAGGGCGCAGGTATCAAAGAAAAGATGATGGCAGTACAGTCACTAATGAATTAAAACAAATATGTAACTTCGTAGGGCTTCAGACAGTTTGGTATACGCAGCATTTTAGAACTCTTTGCTGAGGTGCCTTCAAACCTCAAGCACCAAACCTTACAATACCTTATAATACTTTTCATCTCCAGAGACATGAAAAGCCTGAGTATAAAAGGAAGAATGAGAAAAGGCAGCGTTTGCTCAGAATTGTTTTGGGAACAACAGCTAATGTAATGAGCTGAGGCACTATGGTAGTGATTTCATGAGACAGTTTGGGTTGCTGGGCCATCATCTGAATGTACCTACATTAATCAAATAAAAAGTAGACAAAATAGATTTAGAATATATTATATATCTTTTATAACATTTGAGTAACACCTCAGTCCATCTTTTTTTGGGTGGGCAGAAAGTACAAGAACACTTGTTCGTAGAGAACAGATGTGGAAAAGTGCAAAAATACTTTCCTTCTCATTATTTAAATGAAAACCAAAGCACTGCTGTCTGATTGGCTGTTGCATGTCAATCAAAAATGGTTGCTGAGGTGAGATCAAGTCAAATTATATTCCTTCCACTCATTAAACTGAAACACTTTTTTTTTTCCCCCTGGAACAAAACACAAGAAGGATCCTAAATATGAACTGAATTTCAGTTAAACCTGTAGGAAAGCAAAATGTCTGCATTCACGGGAAGCTGAGAGGGTCACAGGGTCTCATATCTAGCTGTAGCGAAACCGTCGCTGGAGCAGCAGAGGCAGGTCTTGTGGGTGGTGCATCTCAGGCCTTCATGAGCGCGCTGACCACAGCCCTGGCGTTGAGGCTGCGCAGGTCGCTGTACGTCTGCCCGGTGCCCACAAACACGATGGGCTGACCTGTGATGTAGGTCATGGAGATGGCAGCGCCCACCTACAGGAAACAATGGAGTTTCTCCTAACCAAGATCCATTACTTGAAACTGTTAGGGTGTGTTCACACTTGTAGTTCGGTTTATTTGGTCCGGGCCAAAAAGGAAAATGATACATTTGGTCCTGGTCCGCTTAGCGTTCACATTGGCATTTTTGACAGCGAACCTAAAGACACCGAACCTAAAGGCATAGTGATACGTTCACAACCTGATTGGTCGGCTTGAATGACGTATATATCGTGACGGAACTCACCGAACACCCCAAACAAAAGGTGCGTTAGACTTAAAGCGGCGCTGCGGGCAGTGTTGCCAATTTGGGGATTTTGTCGCCAAATTGAGCTACTTTCTCATTGTAGCTGCGACTTTTTTTTTTTTTTTGCGACAAGGAGCTATTTGAGCTATATTTAAATAAAACTAGCGATTTTTTGGACATTTTTTATTTTTTACTTGGCCACACCCTGCCGTAGGCCCGTGACCTCTCACGTTTGCTCTCAATCATGCCAGTAACGTTAGGTGCGTTCGACTTGAAGCACGGCTACAGACGGCAGTCAACGAGAGTAGCCACTTTTGGAGAAGACAATTTTACACTCGAAAAATCAGTCTGTTAAGGGGAAAATGCTTTCATCAGTGTTTTATGATAAACGTGACTCAATATAACATTGCGACTACAGTAAAAAAGCTTTTACTGTTCTAAAAACACAGATTTGTGGCTATTATTGGAATTGAAAAGGTTAGAATAAACCCGAAACACACGTGATAGTTGTCATACGGTGAATCTGGCCAATCGTGAAATGGCTGTCGTCATTAACGCTCCTGCAGCCGCTCTGGAGAAACTGCGCCGGCTGAGTCAGCATTTGACAAGCATTTCCTAATTTCACTTCAGAATTTTTTATATATTTTTTATACTGTCATCATTTGTAAAGTGTTTATATATACATTTACTTTCTTTTACCTTTACCAAATTTACCTGTATTTACTTTGTTTTCATATTTGGCGACTTTTTGTGAAAAATTGAGACTTTTGAGGGTGGTTCTAGCGATTTTCTGAGGGAGGGGTTTGGCAACACTGGCTGCGGGTGTATGATATCAAAGCACCCATTAACCGATTGGTCTGCTCAGCGCCGCTTTAAGTCAAACACACCTAATGCCGTCTGCTGGACTAAGCGCGCTCATTCTTGCGTGAACATATACTTTTATTTTCACCACCTGCAAACTCACAAGGAGCTCATAAAAGGCACTTTACCTCATCGTTGCTCCACGTTTGCCCTCTGCTCATTTTGTTTTGGTTACACCGCGTCGTCAAATCATGTCGCATAGCGTCGCATCTTGTCATTACTTCCTGTTTTTGGTTCGTTTAGAAGTATTTGGTGCGTGTTGCGTTCATATTTCATTCGAACCTCACCAGAGTTCGTTTGGAAGCGGACCGAGACCCATCTTTTTAGCGGCCTCGGTCCGCTTGTTTGGTGCGCACCAGGGTTCGGATGGCAGCGTTCACACTTACTCAAACGAACCGCACTAACAGAGCAATCGCACCAGAGTTCGTTTTAATCGAACCAAACATGACAAGTGTGAACACACCCTTAGAAAGGCCATGAAAAAGGATCCAGGAGTCATACCTTGTCATCAATGGTGTCAAACTTGGTGAGAACGATGCCGTCGATGAGCCTAGGTTTGTCAGTCTTGGAATGATCAGCCAGCGCTTGATTAAATTTAACCTACAACAAAGCAGAAAACATCCACTACATCAACAATGACCTGGAATATTTCTGAGAAGCTCTGGACTGGTTTTCAGATATCAGTTTCCCACATGCAAATGGATACAATAGAAACAGAACAAGTGAGAGAGTGGTAACCATCATGAATATCCTGTGATAGCCCAGATATAGTTTCTAACTGGCTGAATTATACCATGTTAACTTTTCCTTGTGTATGTTTGATTTAAAGATGCGTTCACGCCATATCGTAATTACCTTGATTCCAACTTGTAAAACGCGTTCACACGCTTGTAGAACTCGTAATTACCACTTGTGAACTGGGAGTTTTCTGAGAGCTACCACTACCACCTCAGATTCCTTGGGTGCTATGTTTAGGCGTTGATAGTGCGATAGTTCCGAGTCCAAGGGTGTGAACAGCTCAGAGTAGAACGTCACGTGTTGTCATCTCGAAATCACAGTAATTACGACATGGCGTGAATGCAGCATAAGTCTCTCAGTGTTATTATGCATAGATGTTGCCATGTTGTACCTGTTACTTTTCTCAAAGTAGTTCAAACGGACCAATCCATTTTTGTTATTATATAGCTTGGGGTCTGTGCGATTATTTATTTTGTTTGTTTTTGATGTTTGCTTACCGTGGCTGCGTTTATTTGAGCAAAAATACAATAAAAACAGTAATATTGTGAAATATCATTACAATTTAAAATAATAGTTTTCTATTTTAAAAAATAAAAACCTATATCGACAATTTGTTAGTCAAAAACACAAAAAAATTACTAAACTTCAACTAAAAATAAAATGAAAACAAAATATAAAAATAAATATGAATTCAAAATATGAATAAAACCTATAATAGTATCTCAATAATACTAAAATAACACTGCTTCAGTCTTCGGTGACACATGATCCTTCAAAAATCATTCTAATATGCTGATTTGATGCTCATAAAACATTTCTTAATATTATCAATGTTGAAAACGGTTTTTACTGCTTAATATTTCCGTGCAAACCATGATACACTTTTAGGATTCTTTGCATATAAAAAAAAGAACAGCATTTGTTTTAAATAGGGATGCACCGAAATGAAAACTCTGAACCGAAACCGAAAATTCTTTGTAATAAATATTTATTTTATTAAATTATATAAAGTATATTTGTACTTTTGTTTTTCTCTTTCAGACGAAAACCAAAAATGCCATTTTCGGCCAATAATTTTCGCGGCCGAAATTTCGGTGCATCCCTAATTTTAAATATAAATCTTATGTAAGGTTATAAATGTGTTTACTGTAATTTCGATAAATTTAATGCATCCTTGTTGAATAAAGGTATCAATTTCTATTTTAAAAAAATAAACCCTGTCTAAAGTCTTCCATCATAATTTAGTCACTTTCACGGCATTCTTTCGATCTTCCTTGAAAGACACGTGTAAATTTTGCAACAATATCCTGGCCACAATTTTCAATTGAATTTAAGTGGAAGCAGAATTTACTGAATTTGTAACAGCCCATTATTTTAGTACATAAACGGCTCTCTGAGACATCAAGCACTACCTAGTTCAAAAGCACTTTTTATTGACCAGAAACATTTGTTGGCCAAAGATGTATACTTCATATGACACATTATGAAGCAGTGCCATCTACAGGCCATATATGTCATTACACCTACCAGCTGATCCACAGCCTCATTTCCCACCAGCGCTTCTCCCACAAACAGGACAAGGTCTGGGGTGTTGACTGTGATCAGCTTCGCCAGAGCCGTCATCAGAGGAGCGTTATCCTGCATCCGGCCGGCGGTATCGATCAGCACCACGTCAAAGCCCTGGTTACGAGCTGCAGAGAGAGAGACGTGTTAACAGATGAATCCTTGTGAAGTTTCATTTCTTCTATAGTCACATGGTTTTTACCAAAGGCGATAGCCTCCATGGCGATCCCAGCAGCATCCTTGCCATAGCCCTTCTCGAAGAGCTGTATGGCGGGCTGCCCTCCGTGCTTCTCAGGGGGGTGCAGAGAGTTCAGACGGCGCTGATGAGTCCTCAGCTGCTCCACGGCTCCCGCACGGAACGTGTCACAGGCTGCGATGAGCACCGTGAAGCCGTTCTCGATCAGCCAATAAGAGATCTGTACCCCAAAAAATATATATAATACATGTCCTCTATGATCTCTATATTATATTCAACATTGCTGTTCAAGAAACATTTCTTATTATCAACGTTGAAAACAGTTGTGCTGCTTAATATTTAAATATTTAAGATTTCATGTTTAAAAAAAAAAAAACAGATACGTTTAATTTAGAAAAGACGCATTAAATTCATGTTACAAATGTTTATTTCAAATAAATGCTGTTCTTTTGAGCTTTCTATTCATCCAAGAATCCTGAAAATGTTTCATGGTTTCCATAAATATATTAAGCATCAAAAACGGTTTACAACATTGATGATAATGAGAACCATTATTAATAATTGAGCACCAATGATAATTGATCATAACTGAGCTCCAAATCAAATTAGAGTGATTTCTGAAGGATCATGTGACAGTGAAGACTAACGAAATAATGCTGAAAATTCAGTTTTGCATCACAGGAATAAACTACATTTTAAAATGTATTAAAATAGGAAACATTTCTTTGAAATTGTAATAATATTATTTCACAATATTACTGTTTTTACAGTATTTTGGATTCAATAAATGCAGCCTTGTTGAGAATGAGACTTATTTCAAAAACATTAAAAACCATAAACTTTTTACAGTTAGCATGAAACCAGAAAACATAAAAATTCTCAACTGCATATACATTTTTCTTTTTAATTTCAAGCGCTTCTTAACAAAAGTCAATTTCCAGTTATTCCACACCGTACATTTCTATTGGGTAATTCAAGAATTTTAAGGACCATGTGAGTTTTGTTTGTTTTTGTTTTACCTTGGCGAGGTTGGTGGACTTGCCGACGCCGTTCACCCCACAGAAGGTGATGACGAAGGGTTTGCGCTGAGAACGAGCCTCTAGCACGTCCCTCAAGAGGTCCACACGCCGCTTGGGCTGCAAGATCTGCACCAGAGAGTCCTGCAGAGCCTGCTTTACTGTAGAGGCCACGGCTGGAGAGAAGGAGCCAGGAGAAGATTTAGAAGAGCAGAATAATCCAGGAAGGCCAGAAAGCAAGACAGAAGATAAACAGGTGTGTGGGAAAGCTCTTGTTTGGACGAGCTGTTCAGCAGCTGAGCGCTGTACTCACTGGTGAAAGTGCCCATGACTTTGCCTTCCAGTTTCTTGGCCACAGAGTTGCAGAGCTGGGAGGCGATTTCGGCTGCTACATTCTTGGCTAGAGAAACAAGAAGAGACAAACTGTAATTAGTTTGATCAAGTTACAGTATAACATAGGCTGTATACACAGTATATCAGCTAGTTTCTAGTTCTTTGTGATGAATGGAATCTTTAAGCATTATTTTGATCAGGCCCAAATCATTTAGACTTATTTGTGAACTTTTCAATTCAATTCATTAAAAAGAACTGACTGAAAAAAACAATCAAAAAACTTTATGGCTCACGAGCAAGGTTTATAAAGATCAATAACTAGCTGTGGGGTTTTTAATCCCCAAATATGATCATCCACGTGAGAGATCCCATCTTAAAATTTAAAAGGCAACTATATATTTTCCATGTATAAAGACCCAATTTATGCTGAGGAAAATTAATATTCTAAATGTGTAAAATTATATTTGGAAAATATTTAGTTTCCGTTATGCTTTTTTAAAACCTATATTACGGTACTATTGGACGTAATTTTTATGTATATAAATTTTAACTTAATTTTAAGTTTTATTTAATCAAATTTTCATTTATTTTAATCATTTTCTTTATAAAAATAAAATACCTATAGTTTTTATACCTATATTACTGTACAGTTGGTTGTACTTATTTATATCATTTTATTAAACCAAATTTTTCCTTATTTTAATCAGATAATTGTTGTTTTTTTTCTACATATATTGTGCTGTTAGATTTATTGTTTATTCATAAAATTTTCTTTAAAATTATTCATTGTAATCATTTTACTCTTTTGTTACATGTATTAATTTATATCATTTTTATGCATTTTAATCTTTTTATTTGACTCATTTTTTATTTTAATCACAATATGCTTCTCTTTTACTTTTACTGTACTGTTAAACTTATTCATTTATATCAATTTTACTATTTAAGAAATTTTTATTTTATTCAAATGTTTTTTAAACAATTTTATTACACATTTTCAACTATAATATCTTATTTTAAGATATCATTTATACCAATTTTTATTTTATTTATTTATTCTAATCCAATTTTTATTACATTTACATTTAACTCATGTAAATGTAATAAAACTCTAACTCTGCTCATTTAGCAGACGCTTTTATCCCAAACGACTTAAAAATGTGGGTAATAGAAGCAATCAAAACAACAACAGAGCAACAATATATAAGTGTTGTGACAAGTCCCGGTTAGTCTAACGCAGTACATTTAGTAAGTTTTTTTTTTTTTTAATAATAAAAAGAAAAAAGTAGATAGATAGAGCTAGTTTTAGCAGGTCAAGTTATTATTATTTGTTTCATAATAATTAAAAAGAAAACAAGTAGATAGAATAGAAAAAGAAGCTGTTTCTTGAGGATGGCTAAAGACTCAGCTGCTCAGATCGGGTTGGGCAGGTCATTCCACCAGCAGGGAATAGTTGATTTATCTGAACTTTATTTTTTCCCCTCCTCCTCCCTGATCAGCTAATTAAATATTTTAAAACAAAGCATATATAGTCAAATGTAATTTTGATGAATTTTCCAGGCCTAGAAAACACAGGCTTTCCATGACTAAACCCTGTAATCGTTTTAAAAACATGTAAAAAAAGTGTTCTGAATGAGGTGCCATGGGGCAAGAGCAATGTCATACTGATGAGGTGATCCCTCATCTTGTCCAGAACTGGCTCCATGTCCTCCTGAGTCAGATTCTTAGATCCCACCAGGCCTTTCAGCATCCCAAACATTCCCCCGAAACCACCCTTTTTGGCTCTGCAGAGAAACCACACAGAATGCACATTCAATATCAATTGTAAATGCAGAAGCAGCAAGTTCAGATAAAGAAATTCAACATTTTGAGGCCTTGTTGAAAGGACAGAATAGTAGTGAGTTTAAAATGTTACCCTTTCTTGTTAGTGTTTGCCACTATAACTCTGTCCTCTTCTTGCACTTCTTCATCCTCATCATCTGAGGACTCATAATCGACACCTCGCAGGTCACCCTTCATTGAATCTACCTGGATCAGCTGGGAGGAACACAGAGTTACTTGACAATTTCATCCGCAATATCTGAATTTCACTGAAAAGTTTTCAACAACCATGCAAACTACACTTCCGGCAGCCTTCAACACTGAAACCGCAGAGTTAGTGCTTGCTAGTAAAAAGATGGTGCAGTGAATTTGAGACTTTTTGTCAGGAGTAATAATGGACTGCTCACCGGTTCAGCTGTGGCATCAGGGTCTTGGTTCTGTGCGTCACTGGAGTTGTCGCCATTGGTTCCACTGTAATCCAGCTCTCCAAAGCTCTTCCCGCTCATATCCCACACCCGCTTCATCTTCCCCTTTGGCTTCTGGGGTTTAGGGGACTTACTGTACAAAACAGTTAAATTGACATTTAATCATTTAGCGGACGCTTTTATCCAAAGCGACTTACAAATGAAATACAACAAAATAAAAACTTGTGAATGATACTAAAATGTGATACTATTATATTGTTTTTGTTAATATTGTGAATTTTTATATTTTCACTTTAATTTTAAAGTTTTAAAACGTATTTTGTTGTGTTTTTGACATTTTTATTAGATTCATTTTTTTTTTTTTATTAGTTTTAATCATTTTAGTATTTTAACTTAAACAAAAATTAGAAATGTTGCTTTGCTAACTAGTTGAAATTTATTATTATTATTATTTTTATTAATAATATTTTATTTCAGTTAATGCTTATTTTATTTCAAGTTATTAATTTTTTTTATGGTTTAAATGTATGTTTACATGACGACGACTGTACTAAAAACAGAAAAGTTTTTCCTTTGCATTTTTGAAAAGTTTCGCATACAGAGAACAACGTTATCAAAATGATCCCTATTCACACAGATCCACGAAAACAACTAAAAACGCTGTATTATCCATGCCAGGCCAGTGGTTGGCGATGTCACTTTGTAAAAAAAACACTAAGCGCCTACAAATATACCTATAAGCCGCGTTTCCATATCGCATAAAACATTTGCGAACAAGCATCGTTTCCATCCAACAAGTCAAAGAGAACTAAATTGTCACTTCCTGATAAACTGGCACTATAAATCACTAAGAAAAGTAGGAGAATATAATAATTTTCATATTTAATAAATTACTTGCGCCTCAGAGCGAGCAGACGAAACGCAATGAATGCAAACCGGGAGGCTTGTAGTAAATTACACTGTCAAGGTCCAGAAAAGTATGAAGGACATCGTCAGAATAGTCCATCTGCCATCAGTGGTTCAATCTGAATTTTATGAAGTGACGAGAATATTTTTTTTGTACGTGAAGAAAACAAAAATAATGACTTTATTCAACAATTCGTCGTCTCTGTGTCTCTCCGCTTCACCGTAGCGCCATGTTGGAGAATATCCACTGAACGCAAACTGCGTACGCTCTTGTGTCAGCCGCGACACAAGGACACGTTTTCTACGTGTATTTACGCTTTGATTTGAACGAAAGCAGTGCATCCGTGCAGCGCGGCTAACACACAATAGCGTACGCTGCTTGCATTCAGCGCATATTCTCCAAAATGGTGCTACGGTGATGCGGAGAGACACAGAGGAGACGAATTGTTGAATAAAGTCGTTATTTTAAGTCACAAGCCTCCCGGTTTTCATCCAAAATATCTTAAATTGTGTTCCGAAGACGAACGAAGCTTTTACGGGTTTGGAACGACATGGGGGAAAGTAATTAATGACAAAATTTTCATTTTGGGGTGGAGTATCCCTTTAAGGGATTTTAATTCGAAATTTGGCGTTTCCATCGCTGGTGCGATACTTCAAAATGCGCATTAAAATAGGGTGATGGAAACAGCTATACACTGAACACGTAATATGCATGTGCACGATGTCACTGTTTTCACAAATTCATGTTTTTGTAGTTTACACAGAGATGATACCGTTTTCAAAACTTGCACTTTGAAACCCATTTTCAAAAGTTTGTGTTTTCAGTAAATGAACGGCCTAAAAAGGTTTTTGTTGAATAAGGTATCGTGTAAACACCCCCTTAGTTAATGATAATAACCCTACTTTAAAAATCATCTTTAGTCAGGATAAATTATTATAACCATGTAATCAGATGACCAATATGTTGGTTTAAGTGATTTAGTGAAAGCCATGTTGAGATCTGTGACACCCATATGGCCCAAAATTCAAAAGTAGGGCCTCATTTGCCATAAACAAAGCTTTTTCTCACAATTCACAGAGTGTCTTACCTGGACTTTTCTGGCTTTCCTCCACCCAACTGCTTGCTGATGAACTTGGCACGGTTCCTCTCGATAATCTCCTCTTGGGTCAGGCCCTCGTTTCCATTCTCCACAGCTTTTTTCGAGGCAGCCTGTGAGGCAGCTTTAGCCTGATCCCCTCCTGATTCAGCTGAAGAGAAGAAATGAAAGAACGGTTACATTAACAAACCTATAGCTTCGGAAGAGCCACTGGCTCTCGTAGGTGGTTTCCTTTATTAAACGTCTCTCACATTTCTCACCCTCCTTTTTGGCATTTTTACTTTTCTTGCCTCCTTGCTCCTTGCTTTTGTCTCCATCTTTTGTCTCAATCATAGACTTCACAGTTTTCTGGGATTTCTGGGACTCATTGAAAGTCCTCATAGAGACGGAGGCCTTGGCTTTGCTGCTGCCCTCTGCCTCCCTGCAAAACACACCCATCATATAATGATGATGATGCCTAGAGTTTAAGTGCTGAAAATAAAATAACAATGTGGACACAGCTCTGTTTCTACTGGTAATTCTTCAGTTATTTTGATACTTTTGAAAGGTTTAGCTTTAGTGTGTAAAAAAATATGCTTTTTTTGACAGACATTTATATTTATTGACCCAGGAAAAAGTCTAGCTCACCGCAGAAGTCTGTGGAAGTCATCTCCAAACTCAAAATTATTGAGCAGAAACTTTAGGGCGCCTCTCTGCTCCAGCTCATTCTTGTATCGATCTCTGAAGTGCAGCTGGACATCATCTATGAACTTGTCCACATACGTCAACGTCAGGATCTTTTGAAAACCCACCTGAGACAGCAGAAGCACACGATCAGACATACGGACAGCTGAGTCATGGGACACTGACTGATCTGAAGAATCACATTATTTGCATTGAAAGGAGGAAAATAAGCACTCACCACAAACACAAGCTCAAACTCATTGTCCAGCTTGTATTTAAGACTGAGGGCATTGTGGGTGAAGGAGTTATTGCCACTCCTCTCCTGCAAATGGAGAGCCAAAAAACAAACATTCAACTTCAATTATGTCTTAACATACATGTTGCTATAATCTAAATCTGAAATTTCATGATGAATCTTTCATCAAATTAAATGCTGTACTTGGCTGGAACACAGACCAAAAGATGTTTTAAGTGGTGGATTGCAATATAAACACGTGTTCTCATGCTAGATTAATTTTAAGTTCGATAATAGTTGATCAGGACTTTGTCATAATTGTCAGGACTTTTTTCCTCTGAATTGTGAGCTATTGAAATATAATTTTGATATAACAATAAACTGATATAACAATTATTTTCTAATAATATGATATCATTTTATAAGAGTTATTATTATTTATAATAAGACATACTAAACTTGATTTGACAGTGTGCTATAAGCTATATTTTTTATTGAATCTTACAAGCAATTCAATTGTTACTGTTCTTTAAGGAATTCAAATATATATCAACATCTTGAAAACAAGATAGATAGATATACATACATTTATGAATATGGGTCAAAGATATTAAGATGTCCACATCAAAATAAATTTACAAAAGTGATTATATGTCCATAGAAAGCACATTAAATGTAAGTAAAGTGTCCACTTTTAAGGTTTCAAATAAGTTTTTGGATGGAAAAATGTTAAAATTGGGTTGAAATAATGTTACATTGTCATTTAGTGTGGCAATATTTATGTAAAAATTCAAACAACATGCTTATTCTGACGTGTACATATTAAAATATATAAAAGAATAAGGG